CCCTCCCAACCGTGCTAAAACTCTGTCAATTGTGACCTGAACATCTTTCGAGTGAATGTGTTGTTTTGCCAGCGTGGTAAATGTCAGTGCCGTTGCTTTCTGAGGGGTATGCTTCAGGGGTGTGAGGTGTATTGATGGTTGGTGGTTTTTCTATCGGTTTTGCAGACTCTTTTGTCGAAGGTTCTGGCTGGGATGTCGGTCGGATCCGTGACAAGCTTAAGAGCGATATCGACAAATATGCAATGCATGTCAGAACAGAGAAGTTGGGTGCTATATCATCGTCATTGCAGGTACACACTGTAGGATGCCTGTTCCGCAGAATTTAGAGTATGGTGTTCGGTTTCCGCTTCTCCGGGAAGAATGATCGCTGATTTGGCCTTGTGATGTCATTTGGTTATCCTCATTGATTAGTGTTGCGCTGCAATTTCATACTTGGCACAGTAGTGCATATGCCAGGCCAGGAGGGGTGTTTAGTATGCTTAAGCCGATGCCTTGAAGTGGGTACGATTATGCATGTGCTTGGGTTTGTAGGGGGACACCGCAGTGTCTTTGTGTGCTAAGCAAGGCCGGTTCTGGCTTTCTTCGGACTTAACGCTAGAGGGAGGTTAGGCGGCCGGTTGATAGCTGTTTCGATTCAATGCTTGTAGCGTGGGGGGCACCACAGTGTCTTTGCATGTTTAACAAGGCTGTTCCTGGTGCTTCTAGGACTTGAGCCTAGAGGAGGGATAGGTGCCCAGTTGGTACCTGTTTCAAGTCGATGCTTGTAGAGCGGACATTCTGGCTCGGAATTGGCGTTCTGGGTTCCATTATTTTGATCCAGTGGTATTATCCAGATCCACATCAGTGCCCAAATGGGTTACGAAGTCCATCGTACTGAATCCAGACATCTCGATGTGTTCACATACATGACAAACTTTCTTTTTTTTTCTGGGATTTCGAACTTTTCCCATGGGTATGGTGCGCCTGAACACAGGCCCAGATGTACAGCAGAGCCCAAACGGTAGGGGCCAGTAGCTAACGTACAGATCTTATGCATACCAACAGGGTGCATTTGCCCTCAGCCAAAAGTTTTTCCCTTCTTTTTTTCCCCTTGCCTTTGCCCTTAGTGAAAAATTCCGTTTGAATGCTTGACAACATATCTCTCCCCAGATTATGTTTGAAACTTTGAAGCCTGAATGTTTTTCAAAAGTGGAAATTTGATAAAACACCTACCGTCTTCCCCGGAATAGAACGTACGGTCATTATGCCTGTATCTAGAGGATTCTAGTCTCTAGACTGAAAGTTGCCCCAGATACAGGCATATTGAAAGTTGCCCCAAATACAGGCATAATAACCGTACGTTCTATTTGGGGGACAAAGGTAGGTTACAAAGCCTGGGCGGCCCTGCAAGGTCTGGGCAAGGTCGTGGGCCAGGGACTGGGCAGCCCTTGCACAAAATAAGAAGTAAACTTTAACAAGAACTGGAAATATAAAATGCTGCGATCCAGCTGCCTAGCTCAGTTGGTAAGGCACGCAACTGGCATTCAGGAGGTCTTGGCCTCATGTACCTTCCTGGGGATGCTTGGCGCCCACCACCTAGAGATAGCCCTTTGGTCCCCGCAATTGGCATTAAAAAGCAGTCTCTGCTTATGTTCATAAGGGGAGGGGTAATCGGGGAGGCACAGCGACTGGCCACTCAGATGATGCTCGGTCCCTCTGCTACCGGCCGTCCCCTGGCCGGTCTCCCCCATTGGGGGTTTTCTGATGGCAATAAAGGCCACCCGTGGCTGAAAACGCCACCCGATGTCAGATTAGACACAAGATTGAATTTACCTGGGCTGGTTAGTCCGATGATAATACCTCAAGGCCATCGCCCTTTCAAAAAAATAAAAATAAAAAAATGCTGTGTAGAGTTCCAATGCGAACAGTGTTTCGCTGAGGGCATTCCTAATTGCAATAGGAGAGTGACATTAGAGGATACCAAATTCTGGTACACTCCTCCAAAGCGTCCAAAGTTCCAAAATCCAAACCCTTTGAAACCGTTTCACCTCCTATTTCTACCCCCGACATGAAGTACAACCAAGTTCAAAGATAAGGAGGTCTTCTGGCTTCTCAGACCGAGCTCTTTTTCGTTTCCTTGTTCTTCCTCAGGTCCGTTCCCCTGTTTTAGTCTGTTGGGTTTACCCGGGCAGCTGGGGGGTCTGGCTGCCCAGGCCCGACTGCGCGGCTGGGCATGCGTGTCTAGACAACCCTGGAATCATAGGACGACACATTTCTGTCTTATTAGGACATGTGTGTGGACGTACCCTGGTGTGAAGATGTCAATATCGTGGCCATGCTTTCTCCCAATGCCAGGGCACTTGGTTCTTCCAGTCGCAGTAGGCTGGCAGTTTGGTGGTTTTGGGCAAGGGATGGAATGTCAGGTTGTAACTGGAGGTTCTGGGCAAAGGATGAAGCTTCAGGTGGTAATTGGAGGTTCTCCTTGGGTTGTATAGACCCTAAGTATTAGATAGGACAGATGATAGGCTAGAACAGGCTTTGAAGAGCAGAGAGCTCGAGAGATTTCGACAAGTGGACTAGTGACCTGAATTTGGCTTTTTGATAGGGTCAGAATCTGATTGGATGAACTGAAGCAGGGAGGGTTCTCGGTGCCTGGTTACTTCCGGTTTGTTTGTGAGGAATTCCCCGCTTCAATTGTTTTGTTAATGAATTCCTCTACTCCATAAAAGAAATCCTGAGAAAGAATATTGTCGTGTCGGAGTGAAATACAAACAGGTTTTCGCTAAGGATCGCAGCCAAATTCGAGAAGAAAGGGTAAGTGAAAAGGACAATAATTTTTGAAGATCGTCCCTGGGCCAGATCACCCTTATCCAGATCCGGTATGGATGTCCGGGTCAAGTCCGGACCATGTGGATGTTGTTGTTGGGTGGGTGTAGTCTTTGAGTCTGTGGTGGCTGTGCTTTGTTATGATCTTTATGATCTTATGGCGGAGGTTTTGCCCTCTCTACTCTGATGCGAACAATAGCACAAGTGCAGATCTCATATGTTTGGTGAGGAGATCGTTGAGTTGTTGACACTTGTATTTTGTGGGTGGTTCTGTTTGCAGAAGCGGTTAGTGATGGCAGTTGCGGATCCCGTTGGGGCTGTTCTGGAGGCAGGAGGCCCAGACACATGGCCATCAATCCGACAGCTGCTTGCCAAGGAGACAGCCGATATTGTGAAAGCATTTGAGAAGGCAGTGAAGGGATTTGAATTGGAAGCAAGTGTAGAGGCGGAGATGAAAAAGGAGTTGATTGATTCGGGAAGGCTGGCTATCATAAAGAAGACAAAGGATGAGGCAGCTCAAGCAGCATACCGCATGAAGGACAGGTTAGTCGAAACCGTTCTCCTTTCAGATGTTTTCCTCTTTCCCCCCCTTCCCCCCCCTTTCCCCCCCTTTTTCAGCAATTTGAACATCAGCATCGAGGACTGTATAAATGATTCTACCCTTAAAAAGCTGAACGCAGTAGAATATGAGTACCATGATGTCAGAGTCATCTTCATCCTGCTGAAGGAAGGAGCGGGGGGTTGCAAAGGAAGGAGGGTGGTTCAGATGCATAGCATGCTGTTTAGGGTCTACTACACCATTTTGTGGTACTATGTACGAGTACTATTGAAATAATGAAATTAATTCAGTGTGGAAATAGAAGAATCAAAACCTTCCCTGATGCATGCCCGTTTTATGTCCGATGCAATGTGACCAACATGAGGAATAGATGGAGGTGAAGTGCTGCTGATTGAGAGCTGTATGAAGGCAAAGTGTTATGGATGCTTCAGAGGGTAGAGACTCACCTTTGACCCCTACCCATTTTAGGTTTTGCTTTAAACCATTAGTACTTACAGGCTTCGCTACCCATTTTAGGTTTTGCTTTAAACCATCAGTACTTACAGGCTTCCTGTTGCCGAAGCGGATTCCCTCCTGCGGGCCAAAATGAAGCCAGCCGGCTTGTTTTCTTTTTTGGTTGGTGCCTCCAGCGGAGTCCAGCCATTTAACTCCAGTAGGCCTGCCCCAAAAGTCGCAGTGCATGCACGGCCATGTCAGTGACAAATGACTCGGAAAGGGACTGGTGGTTCAACTGAATCTATTGCTTTGTTCGCCTACATGAGGTTTTGCTTTATTGGTGACCGCGACACCATCAAGTGCATCGCACCTTTGCGTTGTTTGTTCTCTCAGGCGCAGTAGTGACGGAGATGCTGCACTGGTCTGCATTGAACACATTTTATTTACCACAGCACAAGATAAAACATGTAGCAAAATGACAATCTGAACTCACATCAGCAGGGGAGGGTCCCAAACACAGAAGAGACATCTCTGCTGTAATCATACAAAGATGAAGTGCGAGATGGACGATGGATGGGGGGGTGGAAGAAGTAGAAAAGAACAACCAATAGTAACAAGCTCTCCTTCACCTCAATCTACTCTCCTCTGCCTTGTGGTGGTAATAACAGCAGATGGGTCTAAGTCGTTGGAATTGTTTGTTGATCAGGTTCAACACAATTTTTGCGCGGGACAAGGATTCAATGCCAAGGGTGTGGACAGGCAAAGAGGACATAAAGGCAATCACAAAAGATGCAAGGACATCGGTAAGTTTATTGCATAATGTAGACCTATCCTCAGTTCTTTGCGTCCGGCAGGGTGGTCGAACAGCTGCCGGAAGGTGTGCGACAATTGGCCAAGAATTCTTTTCTTGACCTGTCATTTTGATACAGCATTTTGTCAGGTTAGGGCCTAGATTCAGTCCAGGGTTCTTCACACCCAAGAGTCTGATTGTAGGGCACATGTGGTAGCATATTTATCGCGAAGTGTGATGCATTCTGAGAGTGAGGTTTTCATTTGAACAGAGTGTTTGCAGATGCATGTTATTGCTAACTCGACTGCATTTCTAAATGCTAGCTTCTAATCATGGTCTGTAGACGGGGAGGTCATGATGATACCGACATCTCATAATGCTGTTCTCTCTGTGTGTGTGTGTGTGTGTGTGTGGGTGTGTCTGTGCATGCCAGTCTCTCAAGTTGCTGTCGACTCTTGCAGCTGTTAGGCTTGAGTCACCGGCAAAGAGCTCTAAGACAGATGTCATCGAGAATGCTCTGCTGCACTTGATGGAAGCAGAAGCACAGGCAGCTGACCTCTCTCCATCATCATCTGGGAACTTCACAAATGTCACCAGGAGCATCACCAATGTCTTCGGTTCCAGCGACAGCGGCGACAATTCTCCAGCAAGTGTACTAGCTTCCAGTTCTTGGCCAGGGGTAAGTGGTCATCTCAGTAGCCGCAGATTGAACCAGGCAAAAACTTGTTTACTGCTGCATTTTGTACTCTTATATACCCTTATGAGTCGGCGAGACTCCGACGAAACAATTTGTCACAGCCCCTCGTTTGTTGTCCTCTTCTCCCTCCCTCTCTGCCTACTACGATTTACCGGGAAGCTCTGTTTGACGATATATGTGTGACAATATATAGTAAAATGCCAGCAAATCATGCTGCAAATGGTAATCACTGACCACTTATTTTCACCATACTTGACATACAGCCTGAAAGCTCTTTTGTTTTTTAAGGCTGATCAAGCTTTGTTTTATGCATGTGGCAGTGGGCCACTTCCAGGAACGACTTGGCCAATGAAACGATTGGTCCTAAGTTGTCTTAAGTGTATCAGACTGGCAAGGGCTGCTGTGGTTATGAATGTGAGAGAAGAAGTGAAATGCTCATTTCAACTTTTCAATGCATGTGAATGAGAGCAAGTGTAGGTGGCCACATGCACCTGTTTTTTACTGATTTATGTTTGTTTTCCCTGTTGGTAAGATCCTTGCATTAACTGCTGTTGTGGACACAGGTCGAGGCGGACTTTATGATGCTATCACCTTCACAATGCAGGAATTTGTGGAGGATATTCAAGACAGAGACAGAGTACACAATTAGCCAGGCTCTCCAAGCTCAGGTATTCCCATCGAGAAAGCCTTCCATTATGTCAACTGCAACCTACTTGCTATACGTTACGCATGCTCTTTTGTAGTCATTCTGTATTTTGGAGACATGACGACAACGGGAAATGTGTGCAATTATGCAGCAGTGGCCACAGTAATTGTTTCAATTGTGACAATGGCGGGACAATAGGAACCTGTGCGTGTCCACATGTGGTGGCACTTGTCCAGAATCTGTATGGCTGTGTCTGTGTGTCATAGTGCCAGGACTGGAATCGGTATGGCTATGTTGTGTGATGGTAGTGTCGCAATGACGCTGGAATGATTGGAATGATTGTGGAATCCTTATGGCTATGTTGTACGATCATAATATTTTACATCAAACAAATTAGGATCATGATAATGAGCTGTGAGGAACCAGTGTGTGATAAATGGAAATATGTTCTTGAAGATGGTTATCATGAACCTGGAGACATTATGATCCACTATTCATGTGGAGGATGACAGGAGCATGCTCAACATAATAACCTGATGTGGGGGGGGGTGGTGTGCATGCGCGACAATTGTAATCGGATCCTGATGTGATTGGATGGCGTGTTTGATGACTGTGAACAATTATGTGTCCATGGTTTGTTCAGAATGTGTGATGGCGGGTTCTATTGCACAGAAGAATCTTTGTGACGAGGATGTGCGAAAGAGAGCGTGTGTGTGTGTGGTAACAGTTAGCATAAGTGCAGTGATGATCTGTCGATAGATTCGATAGTGTGATGGTGACGGAAACCCATGTGTGCTCAACACATGGACTGCTTTTCGGTCTTGTATGGACTTGTAAGCTGTCTGTAAGCAGATGTGTTTTTCAGGTTGTCTGATAGACGTCCAACTCTGGACGGTAGGCAAGCAAGAAGTGTGTATCCCTTTCATTGAGACGTTGAATGGGCGCATCTGCTGACTCTCTCATATTTTGTGTGCGCCGTTTCTGGTTGGCAGGAACTCGCTCGGAAGAACAATTCATGGCTGCCGCCAAAATGGGCAGTTATTGCGATGCTGGTGCTAGGTTTCAACGAGATGATGGCCGTTGTCAGGTGCGTATGTTTGTATAGTACTTTCTGTTCAGTTGTGAAATTAACACAAGGTATAGTAATCGATGATCTGCAGATGTTGGAACTTGGAACCTATAATGCAATAAAAAACGAGCCATGTTCTTTGGTTTGTGCTACCCACAAGCCATCAGCTTTGTCGCTTGTTATCAAAACTGCATCAGCCGCTGGTGATGTTACTGTTGGCTATGCAGAGCATCAGCAGTGTCAATAAGAAATTACGAACCTAATTGTTGACTTGCTGCTAGCTTTAGTTGGCCGTGCAGGTTAAATCCTGCTAGCCGCCGTGGGGAAAAAAAAAAAAAAAGATTTGCTGCTGGTAGATGGACACAGACAATGCAGGGACCGCAGGCAGGGGAAACACAGGCTAGGCAACCACGGTAGGCAGGTTGAATGAGCGGTATGCGGCCTGAAGGACTGGTAGGACCCCCCCCTTCCCCCCCCCCCCCCCCCCCCCCCCCCCCCCCCCCCCCGGGTACCCTGCCCTCCGGGGGATTATCCTGCAGCGTGCCTGGGTGCTGCCAGTAAGCTTCCCGACTTGCTGGATAATCCCTGAGGAAGGACCAAAGGATGGGAGTGGGTTGAGCCAAAGCAGCCCCCCCTTGCATAGGCAGCTCGAGCCACAAGGGTAGGCTGACTCTCTGTTCTGTCTAATCCCCCTCGCAGCTTGTTCGAAAAACACATGCTTGCCGGTGATAAGCAACTAGACTGACTCCCCCCAGAACAGAAACGGCTGTTTTTTTTTTTTTTTTCAGAGAAAGAAAAAAAAAGAAATTCTGTTGCCTTGGCTATTCCGTCTTTTCAACCCTTTTGTGACGAGTCCTCACATCATCGATAAAGTCTGTCTCCCTCCTGTTCCTTCTGGAGGGAAAGGAAGTGCCACGGAGTTTCAGACAGTTCGTTCAAGCTGTTGCATGGTGGGGCGAGAGGAGCAAAAAACTGGAAAAGAACGAAGAGAAAACAGGCAAAAACAGGACAAAGCACTATTCTGGCTTTGAGTTGAGCGTCTAGGCTACTGAAGGCACCCAAGTCCTAGTGTTGTCCGTGGGGGTCATACCAAGTGGGAAAGCAGGGTTTTGGGGGAGGGCAGGGCTATGGCCTTTGCAGGATGACCTCGCAGGGTTCACAGAATATTGCGCAGCTCCACAGCCTTCTTTTCTTAACTAATTTCTTGCATGTGTTTTTTAGCTCCTAGTGGTGATCCCTGGGGATCTTTGTGATACCGTCATCCAATTAGTCGTGCTGGGAACCATCAGGCAGTCGTGGGCAAGGACCTGAGTGAGCAGCGCTCATACAAAGTTAAAAGAAAATACAAAGGACCTAAGCGAGCAGCGTTCATACAAAGCTCAAGGAACAATGGGAGTTGTGTGGAATTGCAATGCGGACAAGTTTCGGCTGAGGTTCATCACCTTATCAAATTTATTGAACAAAGTAGTTCAGGTACCTCCGACAGGACTACTTGGAAATCACATCCGCTTTTGACGAACTCCCAAGGTCGGTGGGCAGTTTCGTCTGATCTGTTCCCCATATGCCTGGGCATGCATGCCTGATGGGGCGACTTTTTTGCCTACGTCAGTGTTGGGTCTGTCTGTGTGTAGGATTGGAATCCTGTCCGACGAGATTCAGATGGGCTCAGCCAAGTTGGACGGGATCGTTCTGGATTGTGGTGTGGCTGCTCACGGACAATGTACGGGGTGATGCTGATGAGGATATAACAAGAATGGTGACGAGTACTTTGATGATGACAATAGTGACGATGTGACTGTGATAATCAAGGTGGTGATGATGATGATGATGATGGTGCTGATGATGAGGGTCGTGATGACGTGAAGAGAACGATGATAACACTGATGATGATAAGTTGTTAAGATGAACCTGCCTATACATATATATATTCATCAATGATTCAAACCTTTCAATGCCTTATCTATTACTCGCTGTAGCAGTTTGATGGACACACGCATGTTTCCATTTGTTTCTTCAAGTCTACTTTCTAGCTATTTGTCTACCTGTACATATATGTGTCTCTGCTCCTTCCAATTTTTTCCACGAGCTGCAACGAGGTTGATTGTGAACCACGAAGTCAGTTTGAGTGATTTGTGTGCATCGGTCATATGCTGTGCGCCAACTGCCGTTCTGTAACAGGTTCAGGTGCTGGGTATTTGTTGCTGTTACATGTCCTTCCTTGCATGTGACATGTCGTTCCTCGCACGGTCGACAAATCTGGTGAACTTAAGGTCCTGAGCTGCTCGTTGAGAATGAGGTTTTTCGGCAATGCACGTTTCTGGATGACTGGTATGCAGGAAGAGTACATGTGTTCATACGAATGTGCCGGGTGGATTTGATCTGTGTGTGGATGCAGGAACCCTTTCCTGGCGATATTCCTTCTGGTATTCTTCTTCCTGGCCAAGGCTCTCTTTGTACAGCTTGATATTGTTGGGAGCTTCTCACACGGATTCGTAAGTTTTCTTCGCTTCATGTTACGGTCCTCGCATTGTTTGTTTTTTAATTTTTTTTATTTGTGCTGACATACGATCTGTGCCAGGTTGGTAGAGTCTACTAGGAAGGCTGCCAATAGCACCTGCAACTGATTTTTCGCTTCCTAGCAATACTACACTCTGCACTGCACGCCCTTGGGAGGACATTGGACGATGTATAAGCTGCTTACCAGCAGTACTACAGCACGCGCTTCACATCTTTGGGGAAGACATTTGACCATGTATAAGTTGCTTACTACCGTCTTCCCCCGAACATAACATAACACACCCTAAAAGTGAATGTATACAAGCTATATTTCCGGCCAGATACAGCCAAAATGAGGGTGCATTGTGTTCGGGGGAAGACAGTTGCAGTACTACACCGTTCACTCCACATCTTTGGGGAAGACGTTTGATGATGCATATGTTGCCATGTGTGCAAATGGTCTGCAGAGTGTATGCGTGTTTCAAATGCTGAATGTGATGTGCTATTCCAGATGGGCATTGCCTGATGTGAAAAAAGGGACATATTTTACTATATGATGAACTGCTCTGCAGAGTGTATGCTTGTGCAAGGAACATGAGTATGGACGAAGCCCAAAAATCCAGAACGCAAAATCACACTGAAGTCCAAGTATTCAAAGCCAAAGCAGATAGCGCATGGAACCGAGTAACCATCCCATTGAGAATGATACAGAAGAATCGTGAGTCAATGTCCATGCCCAACAGGGCAACACCAACAGCATAACCCAAATGTAGTAACCATCCCATTGAGAATGATACAGAAGAATCGTGAGTCAATGTCCATGCCCAACAGGGCAACACCAACAGCATAACCCAAATGTAGCTCTCTCTTGTGAATGGCGCCAGGCGCCGTATCTACTCTACAGCCTATCCTACAACTACAGCAATGAACAGCAACCAGACAACTTGACTACCAGCGAGTGATGATGTCAACACCAATGCAGACCTCCACCATCGCCAGGTACGTGTCCTCTTCCCCACACTCTCCCTTGTTACCCACACAGCGCCCTTCACCTCCGAAGTAGCACCTTCGCCCTCACCTCCCCTGCACCCTCATGCGGCCCGGCTATGGCCGCCAGTGCCCTGCACGCAGGCAGCGCCCTACTGCCTAGCGCTGGCCTGCCCTGTCTTAGCGCAGCGCTGCTCTGCATAGCGCTGCACACTTGCATCTGCGCAGCGTGCCYGCATATGCCAGCATTGGCCAAGATGCCCGCTGCCTCGCCCTGCTTGCCTATATGCCAGTGCAGCGTGTGGGCGGCCTCCCTTCAGCCTGTGACCGGGGCCCAGAGGTTGAAGCCAACTCGATACAGTTGGGCCCCGGGGCAATGCAGTTGCGCCTCCTTCATCAAGGCCTGCGACCAGATTCAGACAGTGGGCCGATTTCCCTTGGCATTTTCGGCCTCGCTACCCAGCATGCATTGTCGGCCTCACGTTCGAGTGCCCAGGGCCTAACTAACTCAGAGGCCCTGGGCATTTCAGCATTTGCTGAAATCCGAGACTCGGTGCACTCCAACCAACTGGCGTGCTGCAACTGTATAGACCCCACTTCGTGAAATGTTGGCACAGAGGGCTCTTGTTGATTTGCTGGCCCGCCTTCACTTAGGGCGGGCACTAGGCTTGCTGGGGCCTTAGCCCAGAACATGTACATCATGGCAAGGCCCCTACTTGAGGGCCCAATCCTCACACTTGTGTGTAAATGCTGAAGGACATCTCTATGCCGATTAGGTTGGGCTATTTGATTCCGTATGCTACACGTACTGGATGGTTATTTTGGCTTATTGCCTTACGCAGATGTTGAGAAGTTGTAGAAACTAGGGGAGATTTTGCTGCCACGTCGTGTGCATGCAAGCGTGCATTAAAGTGTGTACACATTTTGTATAGCCTTGATCACACCATGGCGCGTTAGCTGCACTTTTGTTTTCTTTGTTCACGGGCGGTGAAGCAAAATAATCCAGATGGAGTGGAAATCCAGTCTCTGTCTTTAGTGTGCAAAGTAATCTCTGGCAGTCTCTGCTTGTTGGGCCATTGCACCACTGTGAACGCTCCTTGTGAATATCATCCTGTTCTCCTTACTACTCCCACCGAGGATTCGTGAACTGCTTGGTAGATCACGTGGAACAAAAACGTAAGCATGTGGCTATTGAGAGACTGCCGAGTCTTCGGAGGCATGGTTTTCGCAGAGGTTGCCAATAAGAGCTTGTTACTCAGACAGTCGCTGAAACGTTTTCGATTTGCGTGCGAGTGTCGTCTCTTTGTCGGTCTTGTTCGTGACTGGACTTGGTGGCACATGATTGGGTTGTGGTTTGCCCTGCCTTCACATTTTGTATCAGTTGCTGGGCATGTGTTGGCAGAAGTTGCGAGTAAGAGATTGCTACTCGGGCAGTTACTTAAACGTTTTTCGTCTTTGTGTGACCTTCGTCTCTTTGCCGGTCTTGTTTGCGACTGTACTGGGTGTTGGTGGTTACATTTTTAATCAGTTGCCGGGCATGTTGACCATCAGCACCAGGCTTGTTCCTGCGTCAATGGCCGCAATGAGGAAGTTGTGCGAAGATGTGCCGGCGCAAATCGCATCGGGGCCTCAGAGAATTCAGTCGTTCATTCAATCTCAGGCCGCAGCAGGGAAACCAGAGAAGACACAGAAGAGTGAGATCGCGATGCAGCAATTTGCAGAGGACAGTGAAGGTGCCCAGCCTAACCCAAATACAGCTGCAAGTGACAATCTGAGACAACGGAACCCCTATATGGCACAAGAGTAAAGGGTGTGCTGTCTTCAGATTCTCTTGCCATTCGCATTTCTAGTCACGCCAAAGGTTGATTGGTGGGGAGCTCCAAGGACGGGTGGAACTGGTATGGAGGGCAACTTATGCTGTCACAGGTAGCAAAGGGCAAGACATCTAGGGGGTTGGAAAAGAAGAGAAGTCGGAGGGCAATGTAGAGGTTAGCGGTTCACAGGACTTCAAGGGAGTGGCAGGGGGAAAGGGTCGAGGTGTCCTGGGTTCTTGTGCGTTGTTCGACGAGGTCACGAGGTGTCGTAAGAAGAGGAGACAAGGAAACGAGTGTCCAGTTCACAGAATTGTTAGGAGGAAGAGTGAAGAGGGGAGGGACGCGAGGTGCGTGAAGAGAAGAGAGAGTCTACCAATTTAGGAGACGGTTAGATGGAAATCCTGAATGACGATGATACGGACGAGGGGAATCTGTCGAAGGTGGGTTGAGTTTTTTCTGCTTCTTTTGGAGGTAGGATGCACTCCATGCTCACTGTTCGTTTCTCGAGAAGCCCAGCGTTGTAAGTTGTCCCTTTTTATTCATCATCCCCTTGACCTTGTCCTTGGTTTCTTTATCCCTGTGTGTCCTATGCTTGCTTGCACATGGCTTTCACAAGCATAACATCTTTTAGCACCTGTCCTAGGCAACTGCTGTGTGTTTGTGTCTATGCCAATCGGTTTAGCGATCTAGGGAGCTGCATTAGTTGTAGCCGATTTGTGTCATTTTCAGCGTAGTTTGTGGATGGGGTCCGTTTGCAGCTCTGAGACTTGTTCGGAAAATGTAGATGTGGACACGATGGAACTCTTTCCTTGGAGCGTTTGAGTAGTAGCTGCGGCTTCTGCAACAAGAGAGTTGAAAAACTTTCTTCCACTGCAGTTGCTACAAGCGCGGGCACAGATGCAAAATAGGTTGGGAATTTGGAGGACTTCTGGGAAACATCGCGTGGGGTGTAGAGTTCTGAGTTTTACCAAAATCCAGGTTTGCTTGCAGTTTAAGGAATCTTGCGATGGCTGTCGGCTTTTCAGCAGGCAGAATATGGAGAAACAGGAGTAGCAGCAAGAACAGGGGGGGGGAACAACATTTTGATGCATCGTAGACTCCAGTTGCTTTCATGGTGCTGCTGCTTCAAGCTTTGCAATTGGAAAGTTAGAAGCTGGGGCATGTTTCATGAAAGCCCGCTTTGGTGGATCATTGCTGTGATGGATCCAACTGGTGCCAAAGTGTAAGGATATCAATGCTGGCATGGAGGCAGAGGAGGCAGAGAGAGGAGGCAGAGGAGAGGGATTCCAGACAATGTATCGAGTCAGTATCATCGATAGGAGGATGAGGAAAGGGGGTACATTAATGATTGTCCTTCGTAGTGGTAGATGCTGAAAGAGTACAAACTTTCTTCTCGTGAGAGCCGCAAGCGTGCAGCATGGGCATACTCAGTCTCCCCTCTTCGTGGTTCAGCGTAGGAAGGAGGAAGCGTAGGCCCTGCTGATGGTGCAAAGAGGTGTTGCTTGCGCAATCACCTGCCGATCACCTGTCTGTCTTTCTCTGTTACGATTGTTCAGAAGCTATTGAAAGTTTGAAACGTAATTCCGCCCAACACTAGACACATACAGCTTGCTGCGCTCGTTTCGTAGATGGGGAATGGGTATAGCTCTATCCGGTCATGCTTTGCCATTCCATCATCTGCAAGCATCTGGATTAAGGTTTCTAAGATTACGTCGGGCTTCTTGTTTTGTATGTAGGAGAGCCGGAATTCCACCTCGGCAGAGCTGGTGTTCTGATTTTTTTCGCACGTTTTTGTGTCTATTACCCTTGATTATCTGACTAATTAGTATCCTCTGTTCTGCATATTTGTTTCAGGCTGGTTGGCTCGCATGCAGGGGTGTATGACGGCGGTCAGTCAGGTTTCAAGTGTTGTGGCAGAGCTTTGGTGCAGCAAATCTTCATGTTCTTTCGATGGCCTGTTTCTGCATGGCTCCTTTTGTGCTGGGTGGGTAGGTACCTGAATCAGAAAATGACATCTACTTGTGGATGTCCTCTTTGAAAGTGTGTTCATATAGCAATGTATGGTGTGACACGAGGCATGAGTGCATGTGGTGCCTCGTAAGAGTCGTAACCTTCCCCTTCGCAGGTTGGGACTCTTGGGATCAGTCCAAGACTGTCCTGGGGTTGGCAATCGTTATGCGGTTGGGCAAAACATAAAACATTGGGTCAATCAAAAGCCTCAGTTGGGGCAGAAAGCAAGAGCAATTCTTCTGCAGACTTCTGTCGCACAGCACGATTCACGAGTGATGAAAGTGATGATTGTTCCAGCCAGTTCTTTAATTTGCTGCGTACATTTTGGCCAGAGAGTGACGTAAAGCAGTGGTCGATGTACCACACAATAGGGCATCTGTTATTTGTGTGTGTCAAAACCACTCGTTCCCTTAGAATAGCATCAATCCTCTGACGTTTGTGTTTCTCCCAGTTGCTCAAAGTGTGTGAATAAGAACTCGTCGTGCAGACCTCTTTTGTTCATGATGGAGCGCGAGTTGTGAACTGTCGGAAGACTGCTCTGTTCCCACCTATGAATGCTGCTTTGCAAATGTACTGCCACACTCGGGAGGCCCATGACAAAGCGATTTTTCTACGACATGGTGTGTGGCTTTCTTGCTTTACCGGTGAGCGGACATCGAAAGTGAATCTCAGTCTGCGGGATGGTTGTGCAGTTGGTGAGAATGGGGAAGAAAGACGGGACCACTGAATGTTAATCCATTTAGGTCAGAGTGAGGTCCCCGGCCTCGTCCCTATTTTTCATGCAATACATATTCGAAWAAAAAAAAAARAAAAAAAAAAAAAAAAAAAAAAAGGTCAGAGTACTCTCACTAAAACTAAGACTTGGGAGAGGAATTTGAGACGATGAAGGAGAGAAAACGGCCCAATTGATCTAAGTAACAGGCATTGTCAATGTCCTTTTTGTCTCCATGAAAACGCCACCTTCTGCCATGTGTTGTCGTGGAATGCCTTTGAGTATGTGGGTGTGGTGGATGTGCACGCGTACTATGTCCCATATGTCCCACGTGGAACCGTGTGTGCATGTGGGTATCCGGCTTTCATTGCACCGCATGGGACCTTGTGGTGTCGCCAAGCTGTTCCACAAGCACGTTTATGCAAACAATTCCTGTAAATTTATGGACAAGTTGGTACACCCACGACCTGTTGGAATACGGACCCAGGTTCGAATCCGGATGGAACCAGGTGAACCACTTTCTTGAAATGGCCGGTCGGTTCCACGATGACATCTCAAGGCCGTTGCTCTTTCTTTAAAAGGAAAGAAAAGAAACAAAGGAGCAGACATCGCTAGCACTCCCAGGGAGGTGTAGAAATGTCACAAGTACCGTTATGTTCTTAAAGGGGCAAGGGCTAATGAAGGGGAGGTAAGCAGGTTATATTCGCCTGTACCAGGTGGACAGTTTCATTGTCCACACCACGGTACACACGTGGATGACAAACATGTGAGTAACCTGCTGCAGTCCAGAAGAGGCGGTTTTCAGCGATCTGTGCTGTTGCACTTGACACCACACTGGCTGCAGTCCAGAAGAGGCGGTTTTCAGCGTTCTCCTTATGCCTGGCTCGGTTGTCAGATGGAGCAGAAAAACATGTGCTGTTGCACTTGACACCGCACTGACCGTGGACACCGGTACTTGTAACGAGTGAAGTCAAATAAAAAAAGTGGGACACTGGTACTCGGAACCAGTAAAGTCGAAAAGAAAAAAGTACGAGTTGCAGACTTCCGATCGCGAAATACATTTGCAAGCTAGGCTACCAGAGTGGCCCGGGGTCAATTGCCCGGCCGGGCCATAAAGAATAAAAATAATAAATTATTTTTAAATTTTATTTTTTATTTTAAATTTGGTAAAGAATTTCGATGTGACCCTGAGGCAAAAGTTGTTCAGTTTATTTTTCTGCATAACATAGTTTTTTTTTTTTTTTTTTTTTTTTTTTTTTTTTTTTTTTTTTTTTTGCTGGGACCTTCCCTTGTCCTTGCACGGGCTGGCCAGCCGGGACCCGGCGGGCCCGGCTGGTAGCCTAGTTTGCGAGAGATTTTTATTTTTTATTTTATTTTTTATTTTTTCAAATGCAGGCCGCCTTCTCCTCGTATAGGGTAATAGCTGCATTTTTCTACGCTATTTTCTTCTCTCAATATTTTTACATCTCACACTACCTACCTCGGGCTGTGTACTTGAACTGGTCTGCTCACGTTCCGGACTTGCAAGGGGCATGGCAACCCAACCAGCAAGGAACCCAGTTCCATGTTCAACTACAGGGGACTTGAGAATAGTACCCAACGCCAAGCTATCCTAGGGTTAGGGGTCTACGCCTATCTCTGCTCTGTGCGGGTAGCAGTACCCAAGCTCATAACACCTAGCGGGGTCTGGAAAGGACCTATCTTCCGAAGCAGCCAGGAGGCCCAAGCCAGCAATCGCCAGTGGTGAACCCAAAGCATACCCCCTGCAGGTGGCGGGGACTGAAAGGATGATGTTGGGTATCGAACCCACAACCTCCTGAGTGCTACTTATGTTCTCAACCAACTGAGCATTTTCGAGAATTTGTTTGTCTTGCAATTCTCTGTCTTCTCCTTCGGAATTTTTTGTCTATGCTTTTCAGGAACTGAGGTTTCAGATATTTCCAAATGCCGTTTATGTTGGAAATAAGCACAGACACCCTTACGTGTGCCGTCGAAGGCGACGTCAGACAATCCGCATGGGCAAATGGTCCACTTGATAGATATTACATCTGGACACTACATCAGACCATCGGCATGGCCGTTTATGACCGCTTGGACTCTACATCAGACCTCTGGACCATCTACATGGCCGTCTGCAGGTGTGGATAGGACTGTCGGATTGCCATTTCCTCTTGCAGTTCGTCTCAGAAACATCTGGGTTGTTCCTTTTAAATATCCACGAGTAGGAGAGAGAGAGAGAGAGAGAGAGAGAGAGAGAGAGTGGTCCAACTGCCACTGTGTGGGATACTGTAAGTCTGCAGACGGGACCTCACGATACTCAATTTGAAGTGTTCAACCTGTCATTGTGCTGCGTACTGGACATCAGCAGACGGGACCTGCTGACTCAAGTGGAATCAAACCGTTCCATGTGTCTGGTCTATCTTTTTGTATTGGGCCCGATGTTGTTGCTCCTCTCTGTGTCCCATTTGTTCCACTTCAATATGCTGTTTTCCATAGCTACGCTCTTGCCTCGCAACAGCCATCCTTCGTAAAGGCCTCTCTTTGAGGCAATAAACTTGTTTGGTCTGACCTTAGCCACTCGCACGATCATGTTCCACTTGCAGGGAATTTCCATTTCACCCATGCTGACGAGTTGTGACCAGGCCGCCTCCCTGTAGATATGACTCTGTCTGTCGATGGTTTGGACACACCATACTTGTACTCCCAGTCTACACCGCATCAGGAAAATCTCCTGAAGTCCTGTGCCGTCGTCGACATATTCTCTGGGTGCTGGTGCTGGCTCCGATCAGGATCAGCCGAAAGAAACCAGCTTCGCGTGACAACGTGATCTTCTGCATACTTTTTCATTCTGACATCCTTTCGCCACTTTCTGGATCCAAGGTCTTATGTGAAGGATACGATATGGAGGGGACCACCACCTTCTCCGTGTACTCGGAGGCTCTGTTATCGGACCTGGTGTGAACTGTACGAGTCCTTGATTGCTATTACCACTACCAGCAGCAACTAACAGAGGATGGGCCTGAAACATACTGTTGTTCAAACTGAGTCTCACCCCAACTTTCCTCTTCCTCTCCTCCCTCCCCCTGCTTGGGTTGTATTCTAGTAGATTCAGGGCAGTGTAGTTGTCCCCCATCCCCCCGTCCCCCCCCTCTACACTTCCTCATTATCATCACTCCTTGGCCCATACCAACCTTGGTCCCCTAGCTCCTGCTGGCCTGGTACCAGTCCTATCGCTGCAGCAATGCAGAACTAGCAACATGGGAGATGTGAACGGAGCGCATTCTTCGCTACTCAAATGCTTTGTGCCCTGTGTCATTCCAGTCGTCGATTCCGTCCCCTTTCGTCCTCTTAGTAAACACGACGGAATGACGGAATGTACGGCCCGTTAGGCCCGACCAGAATCTCTGTGAAGCGGTAGGCCCGACGTTTCAGGGAGATGTGTGACGCGTTAGGCCCGGCCAGAATCTCTGTGAAGCGGTAGGCCCGACGTTTCAGGCTCCGGGTATGGCGAGAGATGGTTAATGGAAGGCCCAAAATTCGGGTTTTTTTGCCGCATCACCACAAACAACGTCCTCAAACATTTCACGAACAAACAATGCAGGATCCTAATACAAACATCAAAAAATCAAACAGGCAAAAAAAAAAGGAAAAAAAAATCTCAAAAACACTATAAAACCCTATTTGGAGTAGCTTTCGGAGCTCGCCAAATGATTCTCCGAATTCGGTGTTTTTCGCCAACTTTTTTGTTACTGGTCCAAATACGTTGAAACTGATAGATATCACACAAAAAAAGAAACAAGAAAAAAATAAAAAATGCAGAGAAATATGGCAGTTTCGGTGAAAAATTCGCCGAAGATGACACCACCTATTAACCATTAGTGTGGTATGGCGTGGCATGGCCGGTAGATTGGTGCACTGCCGAACCAAACCTCATCCTTCACTCTTTTCTTTGGTTTTGTTTTTCTTTTCTGACTTTTTTTTAGGGTTATCAATGTCATATTTTGAGCTTCCCGCTGCTCCGGTGCTACCCCAGAATTTCGGGTCTGCAACAGTTGTTCCTGAGGCTCCATCTATTGGTGAGGAGCATCAGCTGCTGCCGAGTGAAGCAACCCGCGACCTCTTACGGGCAACTGGTCCAGCATCTGCTGAATGCATGATAAATAGTAGTTTAAAGCGCAGGATTTTTTTATTGGCAAAGAAGGTAGGCCTCCTCAACCCCTTCAATAAGGGCACCGGATGACATTCATGAAGACAGTATACCTCCTTGATTCCTTTAACAAAGGGCACAGGATAACATTTGCTGAAGACGGCAACCTTTTCAGTAAGGGCACAGGAGAACATTTGCTGAAGAGGGCAACCGGTTTCAGTAAGAGCACAGGAGAATATTTGTAAAGCCGGTAGATCTCCTCAACCCCATTTATACAGTCACAGGAGAATTATTTGTGAAGTCGGTATATCTCCTCGTCAACCCCTTCAGTAAGTGCACGGGATAGGTACCTGGGGCAACTTTCGGTCTAGATACGACGATAATAATGAGCGGTGCTACCAGGGTGAAGATAGTAGCTTAGCTTGGGCCTTCTCTCGTTCTTTAAAAGAAGAAGTCTGAGGAGGGGAGGAGATGAAGTGCGGGGGAGGGCCATGTCGCTGGGCGGGTGCCCCACATGCACAAAAGACGAAAGAGAAATCAGTGGGTGTATATTCCAATGTTCTAGGATAGGATTCATTCTCAGGTTTAAAGGTGGAGAACATGGCT